CATTGGGCACATCACTCATTTTTAGGGCTGCCATGAGTTGAAGCCAACTCAATGGCATGTAACAGATACACACATGTTAATATCCCTAATCTGGGATTCAGGGGATGTCATGGTCAAACAGGTGATACCTCTTGCTCCTTTCCCCCTCCTCCTCTTCATTTACAAGATTCTCTAAGAATACTCATACAGAAGTTAAAAGCTCAACACTGAAATTCAACAGGCCATTGCATGTCTGTGAAAACCTCTGATTTTCTAGTGAAATAGTTGCATTACTTATTTTCTTACCCTTATGTATTTTCCTAATCTTTTCATTGTTAGCATTAGTTTTGTGGTTGAACAAAGTGCTTTAAGGACACCATACCATTTTACATATTAATTGATGCAAATTTAAAGCTGATGGTTATGTATTTTTTTTTCCTTTTTAGCAGCAAGTGACTGATGCATTAGTGACCAAGTGACTGTTATTACTTATGTGGTTTTTTTTTCTTCACGTCAATCACTTATTAATAGTTCAGCTGAGTTTTATTCCACAGGCTTATGGTTTATTTATAATATATCACATTCTGGAATGAAGAACACATACATTTTAAAGATGCCATCTTATGATCATTCCTCTCACCTTGCATCATTAGTCTTATGTGCTGGAGAAAATGGTAATAGTGGGATTACTATATAATATTTCTGAATTTATTTCTGGCTTCCACTGGAATATGGTCAACATAAGTTCTTGCTCAAAAAATGTACATAAATTATATAGTCCAAAATACAATTTTAAATCAGTGACCTATCTTTTTAGCATATCTTGAAATCCTAGCTAAATGCAACTACCATCATCTTCTTAACCTTTTAAAGTTATTATTCCCCCAAAGGATAGAATATTATCTTGGCAAGGAATTCTGCATTAGACTGAAAGCTATACATTTTTAGGCACCGATCCTAACGTGGTCCAGGGTGAATAGTTTTCTAGGTAAGTTACATTAGCTTTCTAAGTGCCATAGGTTACTAGTTAACAGTTAGTGTATTAAAGCAATTCCAAAGAAAGATTCATGTTGCTTTACTTGAGTGACTAAATTTTCTTCATTCTCTCACTTTTTCTGTTCTCTAAAGAGCAGCAGTTCATTAACCTTTGTTAATATGTGCTCAGATACACAAGGATTACCTATTCGTGCTTTAGAGCAGTATAACATCTGTCCTTCAGCACAAAAATATCACTCATGTTGCAAAATCTCACGACTCTAAGCGTATATTCCCACCACTGTATGCTATGATCAGATTCTGCTACTGCTTTCTCACTAGCTCTTCAAAATTGACTGCTAAAAAGGACTCATATATGACTAAAAATCAGCTTTACCTTTTAAATATTTTCCCATAATTCAATGTAAAAATAATGAAAATCTCTCAAATAATATAGTAGCTAGTTCGACTTACAATGTAATATTTTACTGGTTAGTAAATCAGTACCCTGTGTGTACACAGAGTAATTCTGCTTCTCATGCCTTCCTTCTAATCCCTTTCATTTGGTGTCTCGTGGCTGTCCAACTTAAAGATTTGTGTCTGATTATCTGTATTTCCTGATTACCTGTGTGTAAAAGCTTTCTCTGCATTTTTTAACATTTTTACCTGTACTATCGCCACTATTGCTCACTCACTGAATGAATGAATGAATGAATATATTCATTCACTTATAGTCATAATTTCTTGCCTTACAAAATCTAATACAGAACGTGTGCTTTTCCAGGATCTTAAAATCCACTTATTAAGCCAAAGAAGACAATATTCTAGCCAGTGTTTTTCTCAGGCTTTACCTATGTTGCAGACTGTGTGTTGCAAAAAGAAGTGAATATTTGAGAACAGGTATGGTGGAGACGAGGTAATCTTGAGAGTGCATCACTTTGTTGCTTCACAAATGGTTATTATCATACTCATATGAACTATTAATCAATTGACTAAATGTTCCTGTGGTGGTTTCCCATTGGTGTTACATGAAACTAATTATTTCAAGATTTAACCAGACCAGCTGAGAGTTTAAATAATCCATTCATAAAATGATCATCTAAAAATCATTTAACTGATTATATAAATACTGAAAATGAGTATTAACAACACCTACTATATTCCAAATACATTTTACAGCATGTTAATGTAGCTTTTACTATGTTAGGCAACAATATAAATACTTTTAAATTACAATTCACATATATTTTCAAATTAGACATAATTTCTGAAACATTTCAATTAAGTGGTTTATTTATTCTAAAAACTTTATGGAAACAGATCCAAATCTTAAAGGCTAAAGCATATAAATTACTAGAATTTTCCTCTTATTAGAATTCTAATTTGTATTAGAATTACCTACCAGATTTATATAAAGCACAGAGTATACAATATTTTTAACAGTTTAGATTGACAACGTAACCATTTATTTTAACTACTTCTGTTGCTGGTCAACATAGGTAAGCCCTTTCTCTTTTAAATATAAATATACTAGAGGTCTGGTGCACAAAATTTGTGCATGGGTACAGTCCCTAGGCCTGGCCTGCGATCAGGGTCATCTTCCCTGGCTGCTAGCAGCTGGCCCTGCTCCCCACTGCCAACCACACCAGTTCCTCATTTTCCATGGGGCAATTGGAGCCTGCCGGCCAGCGGGAGGGAACAAGAGGTCAGCCATTCCTGCCTGTTTGCCAGCCCTGCCCCCGCTGCAAGTCGCCCTCTGTCTGTGGGGTGACCGGTGGGGTGGGGGCTTTGGCCTGTCACCGCCCATGTCCCCCGCCACCCACCTCTGGTTTCCCATTCACCATCAGGCAATGGGAGCCTGCTGGCGGGTCGGGGGAAGGGACCAAGAGGTGCTCAATGCATCTTATAGTGACTGGTCAAGTAGTCATTCTGGTCGTTCTACCGTTAGGGTCAATTTGCATATTACCCTTTCATTATTATGATTTTATTATAGCAACTTTTAATCCAAAACTAAATCATATCATGTCAACTTCACTAAAAAACATTGAAGAGTACACAAATATATCCTGAAGATAAGTCATTTGTAACCATTGTTATTTCTTTATGAAATTAGTTGATAAAAGGCATACCACTTTTCCCCAAAAGCATGTTTAATTACTTATTTTTATTTTATACAGGCTTATAATTTATATATATGTATATATAAATAACAATATATATTATATATATAAAATATTTATTATGTATATAAATAACAATAGCTAATATTGCTATCTCACCTCTTATTTAATTTATTAACAAGAATATTTCAGAAAAGGTTCTAAAAATATTTTTACAGTGAACTTGTTGCTTTACTTTGCTATTTTCTAGTCAGAAACTGATGCAAAGTCAGAAAATATGAAATAGGCTGCCTGTTGATGAAATGATTGATCTTTTCTTCTAGGTGCTAAAATGATGTCAAGAGACATAAAGAAACAAGTACAGTTTTATATATGCACATAACTGTCTTCACGCAACTCATTCTGCATTCTTCTCTTAATAGTTAATTTACTAATGAAGTGTGACTCTTTGAAAACTATGTTTCATATTTTTCTAATGTAGTTTTAATTCTTTTTATAAAAGCAGCTATGAAATAATTTTATTTGTTCGATCTTGCTGTGTGCTTCTCATCAGAATTTTGTCCCTAGTTATGTCTTATTTTCAAAAAAGCAGTAAAATTA